GATCTTTCGAGTCAAATCTCGCGACTGACTTCGTATCTGCGCGATGTGAGGGCGAGGGACCGTCAGGGGTATGACCGCCTGAAGACCCGTTTGGATACTTTAGAGCAACTGGTGATGAGAGACCCGAGTCAAACGCGGAGTCCTTCTCGATCACCGAGTCCTCTGTCATCCCCCTCGTATACGGGAAGTCGTTCACCTTCCCCTTCGCCTGATCGGCCGCGACGCTCGACTCACAGTCGACGTCCCCATCGGTCTCGTTGGACTGATGCGGATATGTGATCTCTTATGGATCAACATACCGTTTCAGACGACCCACGTAGAATACGGACGGCGTCTTCATATAAGGTGGGAGAGTGAGCCTATAATTTAGGTCTCCAACCTCCTCGTCCACCGTAAAAAGCCCAATGAATCGGGGCAATAGCTTAGTAGTACCACCAGGTAGTACATAAATTGCATGTTTAGGTAGGGTAGCAGTATTTAATAGCACTTTGTCCCTAACACTAAAGTTCATTGTTTTTGCAATCATGTTGGTCCGATATTGTTTTTGCTTGTCCTGTGCGCTTGCCATTGCGTCACGGACTTTACGTGTGATGGCTTATCGCTCATCCACAAAGTGCTGAGCTTCGCTCACGCTTTTAGCATCCAGCTCGCCTATGACGCCTTCAAGAGGTCGTTCATGGGTCGACGCTGTTGATAACCCTATATTATCATCGTCAAGGAGCAGTGGCTTTTCTTGCCTTGCCTCCTCTGTGACACCTATAGGTGTCGTGAATACTGCTAAACTAGCAGTGTCACTAGGGCAACCTTGGCCCTTTTTGGCATTCGCACCGAGCGAAGTGAGGGGCTCTCCCCCACTAAGACTCGGGCTGAGTATAAACGATACTGGCGTTCGAGGATGACGCAGTCCGTTAATGTAAAATGGTGTTTCACCCGTACTGGCGTGAACACTATTATTAATAGCGAACTCCACGAATGGCAATTGCTTGCTCCATTCTTTGAGAGTCGCTACTGTACGCAACACATCCGACACGACTCTATTGGCCCGTTCGGTTTGGCCATCAGTTTGGGGATGATCAGCGGCTGACATGTGGAGCTTTCTATCCAGCAGCTCAAACACATGACGCCAGAAAACGACGTAAAACGCGGATACCTATCCGATACTATGGACTCGGGCATCCCGTGTAGTCGGTACACATGATCCAGAAACAAGAGGGCAGCCTCTTTTCCTTAGATCTTGGCGCTACATGGTGCCAAGTGCACCATCTTGCTCAGTCTGACTACAAAGACGACGAGCCCCTTCCTGCCTTTATGGTCAGGCGGTAAGCCAAACATGAAGTCCAAAGTGACCGACTTCCAACAATCCGTTGGAATCGGCAGTGGCTTCGGTGGCCACTGCTAGAAGGTGCAGTCTTTATGCGCTGACACTCTTCACAAGAGCGAATATAGTTGGCCACCCACCGATATAGGTGGGGCCACCAAAAATTCTCTGACAATTATAAGAATGTCTTTTCACGGCCCAAATGCCCACTAGATGGCGCATCATGGCATTCATGAAGTATCATCAGCTTAAGATCTGTTTCATGAGGGACATAGATTCTCAAGGGATCACAGGGTGACAGTTGATGCCATAACAGGCCATCACTGTAACTAAAGCTATTTAGTTTTGCTTTGAGGTGCGACAGAAGGGTAACCTTTCGTCCACCAAAATGATTCTACAGCAGGCGACAATGTTCGTCCTGACTGTAACACTCCTTTATATCGGAGGCCATTGAGCTCGTCACATGGTAGGCCTTCATGGCTGCCAATGTTGACGACTCAACTTGTGCTTTCGCACGAGACACACTTTCCTGGTGTCTTGCCTCGAAGTCTGGTCTGCGCGATAATGCGTCAGCCAAGACATTCGACTTACCCGGCTTATATTCAACTTTGAAATTGAATTCAAAGAAGATGTTAGCCATCTTGCCATTCTCGGCGAGAGGTGAATTTATAGCGGTCCGCAGTGATGCGTGATCCGTATAAACCACAAAAGGTTGGGTGCCCAAGAGGTGCACCCGAAACTTTACAAGGGCATACTTCATTGAAAGTTGCTCCTTTTCATGCACAGGGTAATTCAGCTCTGCGGCTTTTAAAAGCCGATACTGATACGAAATGACACGGCCAACGCCGTTGTCATCCTTTTGCATGAGCGCGCTGCCGATTGCAAAACTGCTTGCTATGCAGACAGAGCTGAAGGGCTTATCCGCGTCTGGCAATGCCAATCCCGGTGCCTCTACAAGAGATTGCTTCACTGATGTGAACGTATCTTTTTACTCCTTTGACCAAGTCCATTCTGTATCCTTTGTTAAAAAGGTCAGACAATGGCTTAGTCTGCTCCGCATAATTCTTGCTTTACTTATGCAAGTAATTAGCGAGCCCAAGGAATAGGCGCAGACCCTTCACGTGTCGTGGGACTAATCATATCTTTACAGCCTTCACCTTTTCTGGGTCTGCTCGTATACCATGTGCACCTACGATGCAGCTCAGCACAGGCATCTCGGGGACCCCTATGACGCACTCTTGCAAGTTAACGTATAATTGGGCGTCACCCAGAGTCTGCACCACACTGTCTAAATGACGCTTGTGCGACTCTATTGCGCTCAGACCGTCCTCCGCCCTACTATGCACGAATACAACTTCGAAGTAATGGGGCGCGCAGGCAAGGTGCTGACGTATCACGTGAGCCACCACTCGGTTAAATTTTGCCGGAGCATTTTCAACCTTTGTGGCATGACAAGCCACTCCCACATCATACCGCTTGAAGTGCTTACTGACGTTTTGGCTGTCCTACCGACGAGGGGCCAAGGTTGACCGACGAGGGACCGGGTCTACCGACGAGGGGCCGAGGTCGACCGACGAGGGACCCAGGTCTACCGATGAGGGACCGAGGTCGACCAACGAGGGGCCGGGTCTACCGACGAGGGGCCGAGGTTGACCGTCGAGGGACCCAGGTCTACCGATGAGGGACCGGATCCACCAATTAGTGCCCGGGCCTTTCAAAAGGTACCGTGGTCGACTCTTTCTGTACCGGTTAACCGGTAGCCTGATACTGATATCTTTTTTGTGAGCCCTGCAGATTGTTCTCCGCCAACTGTCGCTTCCCCTCGAGACCCCTATCTCTCTAGTCTCTTTTCCATGATAAACGGTCTATACTCCGTATCCAACTAGCTTCTGGGGTCTCCATATATTTAAAACAAGCACTTCACCACAGTACGTTCTACCCCGTTACACAGAAGGAGGGTGAAATAGTGGAAATGTGGCACTTGTCGCAGACAAGTTCACCAGAATCGAAAAGATCAACCTCCTTCGTGATATATGTTCCCTGCTCGATGTATTCCAGGACATTCACCAAGCTGCTTATAGAGTCCTCCCGCGACCTTTAGCTTGACATTCGCATTGCACTTACCACCCAAGCTATGTTTAAGTAGGTTTTCTCTTCCAAAAAACAAGAAAATACTTATTATTATATATTTGGCTGATTATAACTTATAGCTTATAACATAGCGACTATAGAACGAGCTCGGTGGACACGACTTTTAATATTCACCGGAGGTTATAACTTATCGGAGGATAACTTATTGGAGGGAGGTCTATATTCCGTCTTGGGGTGTTATGCGGCAGATTAGCCGGAATTTGCTGTCGTATTGGGAGGCCACAGCCCTACACCTTGTATCAAGCCGAGGTTCTCGCAGATTTCCTTTGCCCCATCCTGGACTGTGTGAGTACTTACTCATGGTCTGCGAGCACAACAGTGCTAGTGTTCGTAATCTGGCTGAGGCGATCTGCAACCGAATATCTTACTGCTGTAATATGGAGCGCTACATGGTCGAAGTGGCTTACTGTACCATGGCGTTTAACTAATAGGCTCGCTATCGACCAAAAGCGGTTTATGCTGGCTACATAGAGATGCAACTGCCCCGGTGCTGCGTTATGGAGATGCTTCCAGCGCAACGCTATATGTTGACAGATTTAAACAAATACTTCATCGCTTGGGCCGACTAAAAATTGCTACTTGGCCACAGAGATGGCCCGTACTTCAGAGTATCAAATCTGGTGGTCCTATTGCCGAGACAAAGGATTTCATAACAACTATGTACTTATCAAGCCCTTTCCATGGACCTTACGGCAGGCTCTGAAGACAGTCATGGCAACATGTTTTGCTTAGTTTAAAAACGCATAGCTACAAAGTGGTGAAGGGTCAGGTCACATAGTGTCTAAAATGCTAGAATATAATAGACTCGTATAATAATGCGTACCAGACGCTTATCTGTCCCCGCCGGGGCCTCGTCAGTGGCTGTGTCAATGTACAAGTAAGAACCATTCGAACATCTAATTATTTAAATGAAGCATTTATAAGCGTTTAAAACAATTCATGTATCATAGCGTAGATTGAAGTTCACACATTACACATGGATGCTCGAGGGGAGGCAACTAGACACACTCGTATGAACGATGACTGCTTTTCGACACTAGCGTGCGGATCATCGCAGCTCCCTTGTAAACCTTTAATTGCACCTCACTGGCATTAAACCTTCAAGGAAAAAGATGACACACTGCAATCTTCACTGCGTTCGTGACTCCTAAAAATGACAAGGCACTTATCATGATGAGTGATCAATACACATAGAGGCACCATTTTACCGTTAGAAGGTGAGATCTTGCACTTTTAACATTTACAACATCCAAGTTGGCCATATGACACTACCATCGCATTCTGCTTGGGCTAGCGTTATTGTATCACCCTTTTCAATTTAGAAATTACCGTAAAAAGAATGCTAAGAATATGGCAAGAACGTGCCTAAAATATTTCAGAATATCACAGCGTATCCAAAAATGGGCAACGCTTAGCGCGCTTTTCGCGCAACTTTAACGCAACATAAAAATGGCGATCTTTCGCATCCCTCTTGCTTCAGAATCGAATTTGCTTCCTGCTTGACAAACGGTGAAAGAAAAAGTACGACAAGATGACATTGATCTCGGAGCCGACCGCCTACGGTACAAGTTCTCTTGCAAGTAATGAGCAATTCAGTGCACGCTCTTCAACTCGACGCAAGTGGATCAAGTGGGGACTCATTGGTGCATCCATTGGTTTACTTGCTCTCGGTGTAGCAGGCACTTCCTCAACTTCACACTTGGCAGCGTCGATTAAGGCCGCTGCAATGTTCGACGAGGGCGACGTTGCATGTTACCAAAGCTCCTATATCGGCGGTATGACTACCATGATGGAGCCAATTCACGGGCTCAAGTGGAAGCACGGGAGTGTAAAGAACACCAAGTCCTTCATTGCTGTGGACGTAAAGACTCAGTTCCAGGAGATCTACGGTTTTGGAGGAGCCTTTACGGAGGCAGCGTCATTGCAGTTCCAGAGGCTTCCACATGAGAAACAAGAGGAGGTACTAAAGCTCTACTTTGATAAAGAGCAGGGTAGTGCGTACAGCTTTGGCCGTGTGCCGATGGGGTCGTGCGATTTCTCGCCGGAGTCGTACAACTTTGCCGAGAAGGTGAACGACATCGATCTACTGGAATTTGATGTGAACGTGACCCACGACACGGAGACAATGATCCCGTTCATCAAGCGTGCGTTGAAACTTCGACCAGACATGAAATTGTTCTTGGCGCCTTGGAGCCCGCCGGCTTGGATGAAGCGGCCAGGCCCCGATTACATCCCTAGTATGCTGGGGTCGGTGAAGCCGGTGGGACTCCGAGACGACATGCGTGCACCGTGGGCCCTGTACTTTTCCAAGTTTATCACTGCCTACAAGAGCCATGGGATTCCGTTCTGGGGTCTTACGCCGCAGAATGAGCCCGAGTTTGCTGCGCCATGGGAAGCATGCGCATTCGACCCGGAGTATGAAGCTGAATTCATCGGAGAGTTTTTAGGCCCCGTACTGGAGCGTGATCACCCTGGTCTCACTATCATGGTGTTTGACCATAACCGTAACAACGTGCTCCACTGGGCAGAGGTGATCTACAACCACCCGACCGCAAGTAAGTACGTTGGCGGCATGGCCTTTCACTGGTACCAGGATGGCGGTGAACGTTATATGGACGGAGTAGAGTACCCCGAGCATCTAAAGGAGACTCACTTTGTCGATCAAAACCGCTTCATGCTGGCTTCTGAAAGCTGCAATTGCCCGGGCGTGGCATTCGGCAAGGACGCGTGGTTTCGTGCTCTCCGCTACGGTCACGACATTTTGAACGACCTGAATAACCACGTGGTTGGTTGGGTTGACTGGAACTTGCTGCTTGATCACACCGGTGGTCCCAACCATAAGGGCAACCTCTGCGACGCTCCTATAATTTTGACTAAGGACGGAAACGATTTCAACATTCAGCCCATGTTTTACTTCATTCAGCACTTCTCTAAGTTCATCCCGGTCGGCTCACGCCGTGTAAAGGTGCAAGTTGCTGCCCACTTTGAGAAACCTGGTGATGCACAATTGTATGTAGACTACCAGCTGTCTCTCGACGCGTGCGACGGAAGCTCCCGCCAAATGATTCACAGAACCGACGATGGCAAGATGCAAGTCACTAGCACGCCATTCTGTGTGAACATGGTACCAATCCAAGGCAAAGGACAGGAGATTCGACTTGTAGAGTGCCAGTACACGCAGCAATCGTGGACGTTCGAAAAAGACACACAGCGCATCCGCATTGACGACTTTTGTCTATCACTAAGCCGTGGTTCAACTGAAGACGGCGTTCGTGTGACTGCAGACAAGTGCCAAGATCAGGCGGTGCCGTACCAACAGTGGACGTTCAACGGGGAGGATGGCACTATGCGCTCTCACGCGTCGACGGGTGACCAGTGCATGACGACGGGTTATGCGTTCGTACAGGCTATTGCGTTCGTAACACCCGAGAACCGCAAGGTGCTGGTTGTGTTGAACGAAAATACGGAACCAGCTGATTTCCAGGTGCAGGTTGGTGATGCAATGCTCGATACGACGATTTTACCGGGAGCTATTCGCACTTACATATGGGAGTAAAGCCACGGCGGTTACAATCGAAATAAGCGCATCAAACGTAGTTTAAACGATTAAACAAGCTGGAAGTATCCTTGCTATAAGCTTTGACAGGTTGTTTGGTCCGATGCCAACCAATTATAATGAAATCAGAATTGTACATTCGGTGTTCTATATCTATTATCTCGTCAATCAATCAACCAAAAAGCATGTCAACCCTCCCCTCCACCAGTTTTAAAGTGTCCAAGTAGCGATGACATCCGAGCCGACGGTCTATGGCACGAGTTTCTTGGCCAGCGACGAGCGTTTGAGCGCACGCGCTGCACGACGTCGCGCCTTGATCAAGTGGAGTGTCATTGGCCTTAGTATCTTTGGTCTATGCGCCGTTGTAGCGGTCTTTAGCCTCTCAGGAGAGCGCATCGTGTCGCCTATTGCGACGACATCTCACATAGCTGCTGCTCCTGCTATAAACTCGACGCTCTTGTGCGCTCAAAGCTCATACACAAACAATGTGACTTACATGATGGAGCCCATCACAGGCCTCCAGTGGACACACAAAGCACAGAGGAATGCTGCGTCCACCATTATTGTGGATGTAGACACGCAATTTCAAACCATCTTGGGCTTTGGAGGAGCTTTCACGGAAGCAGCAGCCTTGCAATTTCAAAAGCTATCACTAGCAAAGCAAGAGGAGGTCTTGACGCTCTATTTTGACCAGGAAAAAGGCAGTGGATACACTTTTGGACGTGTTCCCATGGGATCTTCAGACTTTTCAACTGCTTCATACAACTATGATAATGTCATCAATGACATGCACCTCATTCACTTTGATAACGACGTGAAACACGACCAACAAGTGCTGATTCCATTCATTAAACGTGCACTGAAACGTCAGCCAAATCTCAAATTGTTCTTGGCTCCATGGAGTCCTCCAGCTTGGATGAAACGGGAGACGCTTCATTATACATCGAGTATGCTGAATTCAGCAAAACCCATTGGCTTAAAAGATGATGTTCGGGCGACATGGGCATTGTACTTTTCAAAGTTCATTACAGCTTATAAAAAACATGATATCTCATTCTGGGGACTAACGCCACAAAATGAACCACAAGCGGAAGTGCCTTGGGAGTCGTGTATGTACACGGCTGAATATCAAGCTGAATTTATAGGAAAGTATCTAGGCCCGATGCTAAAACGTGATCATCCTGAGCTCAAGCTCATGATCTTTGACCATAATCGTGGTAGTGTCCGTCAATGGGCAGAAGAGATCTATAATCACCCTACAGCAGCACAATATGTAGATGGTATGGCTTTCCATTGGTACGATAATGAACGCTACATGGATGGTGTCGAGTACCATGAACGCCTGAATGATACCCACTTTGTGGACCAAAACCGCTTCATGCTGGCTACAGAGAGCTGCAATTGTCCTGATGTAGGTTATGGTGATCTCGCGTGGTTCCGTGCGCAACGTTACGGACACGACATTATGACGGATCTAAATAACTACGTGGCTGGTTGGGTCGATTGGAATTTGATACTTGACAGCAAGGGAGGACCTAACCATTTGGCAAACTTTTGTGACGCCCCTCTCATTATGACGGAGGATGAAACGGACTTTTATATTCAGCCCATGTACTATTTTATCCAGCACTTTTCCAAGTACATTCCTGTAGGTTCGCACCGTGTTAAGACAACCGTAGCAACAAAGTTTGCGAAACCTGGTGACCCGCAATTGTACGTTGACTACCCGTCGATGTTGGCAGCTTGCGACGGCAGCTCGCGCCAAAAATGGCGTCCAACGGATGATGGGAAACTGGAAGTCACTGGCACCGGGTTTTGCATTGATCTAAAGGAGATTCCGTGGCAAGGACATCAAGGTCTGTTGGTAGATTGCAGGTACACTCAGCAGCACTGGACATATGAGATTGAAAATGGCCGCATTCGTATGGGAGACTACTGCATTTCTTTGAACCACGGTTCGACACAGAATGGTGTGCGGATTAGCACTGATATTTGTGAGAAAGAGGTGGTACCGCACCAGCAGTGGAGGTTTGACGCTGAAGACGGCACCATGCGCTCATACGCGTCGACGACAGACCAGTGCGTGACTGCCGGTTATGCTTTCGTTCAGGCTACTGCCTTCGTGACTCCGGAGAACCGCAAAGTGCTTGTGGTGATGAATGAAAACACAGAGCCAGCCAATTTCGAGCTGCAGGTTGGCGGCGTTGCGCTTGAGACGACGGTGCCGCATGGAGCCATTCGGACGTTTACCTGGGAATAAGAAGACGCCGCGCTATGGTGATGCATTTATAAGAAATTATAGGCAAAAGCGGATGTGCAGTGGTAAAGACAGTGACGCAAGCAAAGAATAAAAATAATTGCGCACTAATGATTGTTGCTGCAATCGTAGACGTCAGCATCTCTTTCTATCTGCAGGAACAATCGACAAGTCTCGCAACAGATCATTCCAGATATCGCTGTCGCACGGAACCACCTCCTTTCCAGCTCCATTGTCGAACGAGTAATGCTCCTGCTCATTCGCACTATAATTCGCAGGCACCACAATCTGCATTTCCAGTGGCACCTTGCGCTTCTTTGGTTTCATCTCAAACACTTCAATCGTGTCTTTTAGATAATCAGCATCCAACTCTGCTCTCGGCACTTCCTTCCATTGAAAGTACGTATCCAACTGGCGCATGAACTCATCTCGGACTTCCGGTGCTCGACGCTCATTAGCCAAGAAAATGACCGTTTTCCGATGTGACAACGCTAGCAACGACTGCACCAACGGCTTTACACACGCCTTCTCGTACACTACATCTGCACACAGAATGCAATCGAACGGTGCCTTGAGATTCGTCACTGGCGTTCCCCTACGCAACAAAATGTATACAAATCTCATTGCAAAGCTCTAAAGTACTTGCAAACCAACGTTTTGTCATCTTACCAAGCGTGTTGCTTGACGCGAACGTGCTGTAGCTCCTTGTCCGTCAGGTTTTCTCTCACATTGCGTCTGAGCCACGGAAGCACCGGTCCAATATCCGTAAGTACCACATCTGCGACTCCACTTGTGACAATTGCACTGGCAATGCCGGCAAGTCCTCCACAGCCAGCTCCGAGCTCACAGATGGACATAAAGCGCTGGAATCTCTCAGGTATCGTCTCGATAAACTTGAACAGCGTCTTGCTGCTGTCCCAGACGGTCGTTCCGAGAACAAAAGTGTCCGGATCTTGCTCCACCGAGATTACTCGTGATCCGCCAATGGTTATCTCTACACAACGAGCCCAATGCGTGAACAACGCCTCGAATGTAGGCGGCTCCGACGCGATCAACGTCTTTTCTTCTGCCATTGCCAAGCTGTCAGTCACACGGGGATTCGTACCTCAAATGAATGACCTTGCGTATTAGCTTTACGTTACATATAAATAGCTGTGTTTTAACTGGTTGATTGCTAGAAGTTAGCGTCAAGCTTCTAGCGTGTACTACTTGAATCAGACAATCATGTTTTTTGAAACCTTGTCTACCTTAATATTGTTCATGCCCTTCGATCGTATCATTGACTTTCTTCGTCCGTATTGAGCGCGGCTTCGATCTACTGAACTCTTAAGCGACGCATAATTTGCCTGAGTCACACCGCCGATGTAGGAGTTTTGGATACATGCAACATCGCTCTCGTCAAACGTTGCAGCGGTCTCAGTCGATGCAGCCAAGTGTGAAGCTGAGGAAGTGCCTGCCATACCGTAAGTAAGTAACTTGATACACCAATGAGTGCCCATCCCGAACGACCGCCTCAATCCACACATAAACACGCACGCATAGCAAGCTATGCGTACATGGCACACACGGAGACACAAACGACTTAAAAGCACGTTGTAGGCACCTCAGTCCCGCATCGTTTAAATACAGAGCGTGCGTGCACCAAAATGCTCATTATTTGCAAGAAAATTCGGGTAGTAGCTAGCAAAACACCTTGATGTAGTCTATATTAGCGGCACATTCTTCATGTACCTATCTACCCTCCCCCTGATTGCTTACTGCTCAATTTTACCTGTTCTTCACCCCACATCTTGTTATATCGCCCAATTATATCAAAGCTCGGCGTATTGCCAGCTGCCATAACACCCTTAGAGCCCTTCAATTTGTCGGCAACTTGCGGTACGGACAATCCTTTTATGAGCCAGTATTTTAACCTTGCATTCCAGATTTCGTCCACATACTTCTCGGGTAATTTTGCGTTGAGATGCTTGATGTAGTACTGATAGAAGTACCTATCGTAATACTGCTTGTACTTCTTTTCGTCAATTTGCATAATCTTCTTGAAATTCTCCGGTTTGACATGAAAAATACCCAAAACTTTCATCTTCAAACGAACCCAAATGTCTTGGATGATCGATGGCATCCATCGCTTCGTACCCGCTACACCATCTATAGCAGGCATTACTAGTAGTCCAGCGGCTTCGAGGTCTACTCGCAGTAACCTGTTGGTGATGTAATCGACTGGTGTAACAGTAGATGAGACTCCTTTCAACGGTTCGTCGACAGATTTGATCTCGCGAGGCATTGCCAGGGAAGTGTCAAACACTACAGAGAAAAGAAAGACCACGAGCACCACAACAAACAGAAGAAAGCAGCATGATCGCATGCTTGTCTTTAATACCGGAAATTGAGCAATGGCACTACGGAATGGCACTAACGAAAAGTAGAAATTGACCATGTCGGAGAATATCTTTATGATCTGATCGCAACGGCTACGACGCGCAATCGGACGAAAACGATGAAGAGCGTCTGGGAGCTTGACAGAACCAAGCAAAAAGGATTTGCTGCATCAAGTAAAACCGAGACGGTCATATTGTACGTAGATGTAAAGAATACCACGACTCAAGAGGAATGAGGTAAGAGAAAGAAATCGAGAAGATTAAGAGAAGAAGGATTTGCGTGTAGTTTGCTGCCAGACTTGATACTGCACCAATTCTCTCTGACATCTGGGTGCTGATGCTGGTGCTTTTTTACGACAACTGATTCAGTTTCTGGCAGATGAACGCTGGGGTGTGCATGAAAAGACCCTATGATATCGGTTGACGTACTCTATTGTGCTGCGATTTGTAGACATTTTTAGCTACAGGATAGCATGGAGACAAATCCTGCAAGATATGTTTTACTGCATCACATACTGCCATTTTACTTGATCAAAGAAAGAAGTAGACGCTCTACTGCACGAAATGCGACGCACGATTAAGCTCAAAGACTCCAAAATCTCTACAAAGAATGGATTTGACACGTGAGAAGAATCTTTTTCCAAGCGACATAGGTCAGCAAGCATGGCACCTGGATGAGAACAAGGATGAGAAGGCCAGGACTATGGAAAAGACATGGAGTGGTACATGCTGAACGAGAGCAAATTCAGCAGTCGAGGATCAGTTTCGAGCAATGCAAGCGTATTTGGATGGACTATCGTGGACAGACAACCGTAGATGTGCTGAAGCACGAGGATTAGGTTCGAGAGATTCAAGCGTACTTTGGACCGGCACTGTCGAGTACAAACGCCAGCAACGAGAGAGAAGAACAGACCGTCTATTTCAGAAGAGAAGAACAGACCGTCTATTTCAAACATTAAAGATTGGTAAGATATCTGGAGTGCTTCTACCAGGACTTCGTCATTCTTCGCCTCGCTGGCTCAATCTGCTGGCTCGAGACGTCGGGCGTCACGGGGGACACTCCGAAAAGGGCACGTGGAATCGGGTATCCAGCCCGAGGTGTAAACAGTGGCTCAATGATCGCAACAAGCGCCGGGCACCACACCGATCAGTCCCGATCGACCGCTGATGCACCTGGACGGGGCCGATCAATTCACGTTCTTGGCAAGTTCACTTCGTGGGACCGAGATTCGCGCTCGGCGATCGAATCGGCGGCTTGAAGGCTGACGTAGAATAGCAGGAACTATTGGGGAAAGAGGGAATGATAACCGCGGTCATCGATCCTCTCCCCCCGGGGGTAACAGGGTTGGTGCTCCCCTTCCGGTTCGCACGCTGCGCTTGCCCCCCATAGCGCACGCAGCAGAGGGAAAACCTCCCCCCTCTTATCCTGGGCCTCCCGTTGGAGGGACTTCCCGCCCTGGTCGGAGGGAGCCGGTTGACCGGCTCTTTGAAGGTCTTCGTCTCTTGGCCGTTGTTGCTCGAAGGCGCGAATTGGGAAGTGCAAACGCCAGCAACGAAGGATTCTCTGGACAGCGCCGGAGGGAACAAATGTTGGGGATACATCAACACCCAGTTATAAACAGGCACCGTCATCGGCTGATATCGAGCACATACTTGACATTGCCGGCCGGGCTGGGCCTGGAAACGGATATAGTGGATAGCTTGCTCCGTCTGCAAGACAACGTTATGGATTCAGCGGAACACGAGTGTACATAAGCAGGAAAGTGCATCCTAGGAGCAAGAGGTAGCAAAAGAAAACATGTCTTCCTTCGCTAACTCCGAGCGGTTGGCAAACGGCATCTACCGACGCCTGTCAATGGAAGTACCCGGAACGGTACATCCACCGTAGCCGACAGGAGCATATTCTGGGGTACCCTATACGAGCGCTGTGGACTATTTGTTATTGCGACTAAACTCGCGCACGACATTGATAGGAGCTGCAGATGGTAGGAAGTGCAGGACGAGACCGTAGTAAAAGGTTTTGACTTGGAGGTGAGATTACGTCTAAGAGAGGCAAACGAGTCGACTGAAACTTCAGTGGTTGCAGGATGTCTGGTTGGTTCTCATATCGCTGGTTTTGTCCGGTGGTTCCATGAGGTAGTCTACCTTTGGAAACGGCTTTTGGGGTTGTTTGACCATTGCGTATTGACATAGCATCATTCAGATCTTGAATCTTCGTTTTCGGCTCTCCCTTTGCAGCTCAAAGTTGCTTCATCTTAATTCCCCTGAATTTCTTGACGCTGCCGTCAATGGTCTTGCCAAACGTCCCACGATTGCGTTGTATCCACAAGCCGTTTATCTAAAAGCTTCTCGGGAGTGCAAAGTCGCTCCCACACTGCGGCGTATGCGGCCGCCTCGTCGGTGTGAGCACAAATCTGGACCATCTGCTTGCACTGTGTGCTGGGAAGCCTTGTAAACGTTCAAGCTCCCATCAATCTCCTGGTCACTGGTATATATAACCTTCTACCAGCAAGTTTGTGCGCAGAGGCAAGTGTTCGAGTGTTTCTTTCACTTCTCAGCAGCATTGATGCTTGAAGCAACTGCTGTCTTTGTCTTGAAGAGATTCGGTTGCTTCACTGCCACTTTATAAACTACCTACGCTTGGTACGGCTGTGAGCTCGTTTTCATGAGCCCATACGTTTGGTTGACGTCTACTGTAAAGTTGCGGCCTGCTACGCACTACCTCGCGCTGAGAGTGCTGAGAGTTCTTGTCAGTGCAGTTCCTGAACTTTTGTACCGACGAAAGAGTTGTTTCTTTAAGGAACATCGTACCTGTTGTTCGCGATAAAGTCGGGCACACTCCATGGAAACCCGTAAATGAGCGGACGCGCACATTTATGATGCCCCTGCATCCTGGTTCTTTCGATACTTCTGGCAGTCAGCTGTCGTCCGCTGATCCTCGATATTGCTAGCGGCATTGTCCAATGTATTATATTGCTTTCTTGCTCCAAAGTGATTGGCGCTTCGCTGGCCGGGGACTGAGTCCGCCATGATTTCGCTGTTTCGGCCTGTCGTTGTGTATTCCCAGACGTACATCTTTGTGCAATGATGGCGCGGTAGGAGGTCCTTCCTGTTGTTAAAGCACTTGGGTTGTAAAAAGCAAAATGCAAAGTGAATATATTTAGGTCCTTAGTTCACAAACTCTGTTGCTACTCTAAGCCTACTGGATTCTTCGACTACACGTTTTTAATCGCTATATCGCGCATTACTCATGGGATAGCCGCACATGAGTAATCTACTCTACACACATGACTCATCAGATAGCGCTCATGAGTAATCCACGCTAGTGGTATTACTCATGGGATAGGCGCACACCTAACTAATCAGACCGTACATTCTTGTGGTTGCCGTTTGCATGCCGAGTCGCTTCTTTTACAACACTCCCACTCGACTCGGTAGCGACACCGACAGTGATGCCGAGTTTAGTACGGAGGATGGTGAACTGTGGCGCTTCGATTGCCTTGGTCATGATGTCAGCGAGCATATCTTGCGTTGGACAGTACTGTAGCACGACTTGATTCTTTTCGACCTTTTCTCGCACGAAGTGGTAGCGAATGTCGATGTGCTTAGTGCGTTTGTGGAACTCTGGGTTCTTGGCCAACGCAATAGCACCTTGATTGTCTTCATAGATAGTTAGAGCGTCATCACCTGCTTCTTCACCGAGCTCACGCATGAGCGTCTTGAGCCACGTCGCTTCTTGGGTCGCCTCCGACAGTGCCATGTACTCTTCTTTGGTAGACGAGAGCGCCACGCTGCGCTGTTTCTTGCTACGCCAGCTGATGCAGCCGTTGTTAAGCACAAATACGTAGCCGCTGGTACTTCGTCTAGTATCAGTATCTCCAGCCCAGTCGGCATCGGAATAGCCAAGCAACTTGCCATTGCCAGCGCCAATAAAACGAATACCAAGTGTAGGAGTCGATTGCAGGTACCGTAGCACGCGCTTGAGTGCTTGCCAGTGTGTCGGACACGGGTCAGCAGCAAACTGGCTGAGCACTCCCACTGAAGCTGCGAGGTCTGGACGCATGCCTACCATGAGGTACATCAAGGCTCCGACGGCACTTCGGTATGGCACTCCTTGCATGGTGTAGTTGTGCTTGCATCCATCTTTACACATACGCTTAGTCAACTTCAGTCCGGGGTCTTGCGGTGTCTTAACAGGCTTAGAGTCTTGCATACCGAACTTGGTCAGAATCGATCGCAAGAACTTAGTCTGTTTCATCGATACATCGCCTGACTTGTCATCTCGCTCGACTTCTATTCCGAGGCAGTACTTAAGCTCACCGAGATCGGACATCTCGAATCGCTCGCTCAATGCACGTTTGGTGGCTGCGAGGATGTCCATGTTGTTGCACGCAAGGATGAGGTCGTCGACGTATATGACAACAAACATCATGACCTTGTCGTCACGCTTGGCGTAGACACAGTGATCCATCTCGCACTTGGTGAAGCCAATATTGCGCATGAACTCATCAATAGTCTGGTTCCACATTCGAGGGGATTGCTTGAGTCCGTACAACGCACGCTTGAGCTTGCACACATGGTGAGGATGATTGGCATCAACGAATCCGTCAGGCTGCTTCATGTAGATCTCTTCTTCAAGCATACCGTTGAGAAACGCCGTTTTGACGTCCATCTGGTGAAGTACGAGGTTGTGCTGCGCGGCGAGGCTCACAATGATCCGGATCGACGCGAACTTGGCCACTGGTGCGAACGTCTCCTCGAAGTCCACACCGTACTTTTGCAAAAATCCTTTTGCCACGAGGCGCGCTTTGTATCCCTCGATGAGTCCATCAACAGTCTCCTTCACCTTGAACACCCACTTGCTGCTGATCGCCTTGCGATCACTTGGTAACGGCACGAGTTCCCACGTGTTGTTCTTGCACAATGACTGAAACTCTGATTCGCACGCTTCTCGCCACTGTCTTGCGTCGCTGGATTCCATAGCCGATGAGAATGTCATCGGCGCTTCTCCCACTGAATCCACGACGTTAGCACAGTCTTCTTCATTTTCTTCGTCTTC